CTATTGCTGACTCCAGAGCATTGGAGGGTTGGATGTTTTAAGTTTTCAGGGGGCAAGAGATCTAGGGAGGACCTACTCAGCAAAGTTATCAAACATTGTGTTCAGGGGTAGCAGAAATTGCATAGTTTAAAAGAGATGACCTGGGTGATGGGCCACCAAATCATCAGATGGTTTGAAGGCAAAGATATCTTAAGCTGATGTCAGAACACTTTGAAAATAATACTGTATTCAGACCCTACAAGTAAGATTTTGGAAAAGTTCAGTAATTCAGATTAGCATTAGGAGACTAAACGTTTGCCCTTCTGTTTGTGGGGTAAGGAAGGTTTCCAGCCTTTTATAGATGTACTTGTCTGCATGTCTTTATCTATCAGAAACCTACTGCAAACATATTTGTTGGCATGTCACTTGCATCAATCAGTTTTCAAAACCAATAGTTACATTCTTCTCCTTTATGGTAGTACACAAGAGTATTTCAAAGTTGTGACTTCTGCATACATCTGGGGTGCTCAAATCCTCTGGAATAGTGAGATGCATCTCTGCTTATGTCTGCAGGAGGGATTTAGTGTAGAACACATTTTATTGGTATGGCTCAATAACTGATTTTCTTTAAATGGAGTCAGATGTTTCTCTACATAGTGAAAATCTGAAAGACCATACAGTATTATCAAGTTCTGAATGAAGTCCTCCAATGAACTGAATTAGTTCTGCCTAAAAACTGACGCCACTACAGTAGAACCTCAGAGTTATGAACTGACTAGTCAACCACAGACCTCATTTGTAACCGGAAGTATACAATCAGGCAGCAGCAGAGACAAAAAAAAAAAAAAAAAGCAAATACAGTACAGTACTGTCTTATATATAAACTACTAAAACAATAAAGGGGAAGCAGCATTTTTCTTCTGCATAGTAAAGTTTCAAAGCTGTATTAAGTCAGTGTTCAGTTGTAAACTTTTGAAAGAACAACCATAATGTTTTGTTCAGAGTTATGAACATCTCAGAGTTACGAATAACCTCCATTCCCAAGGTGTTCGTAACTCTGAGGTTCTACTGTACATGACCCGAGGTGTGGAAAAGACTAAGATCCTGTTTAACTCCTCCTCCTCCGTACAATATTCAGTTTGTGACTTAACATGTATCTTGTACCTGAGGGAAAAATGTTTATAACAACTGTTCCAACCGCTCTGAGAGCCATCCAGAATTTCCCCACACAATTTGTAGTAAACACAATAAAAAGCAAGGATAATTCTCCACAATATGTATTTATCATGAGAATGAACAAATCATTCCCATCTGGCATTGGATAAGCAAGTGGCAAGCTGTGACTTCTGTTAAACTGTTTTTGTTTTATTACCTCATCTTCCCAAACTATCCCCTTCCCCGTCCCATTTGTCTTTTTCATCCAGCTGTTGCATCCTGTCCCTTATGTAGCTTGTGAGCTCTCTGGGGCAAGGATTGTCTTTTTTGTTATTTGTCTGAACATTACCTAGCACAGTGCGACCCTGATCCTTGATTGGGGTTCCTATATGCAGCTATAATAATGATTCCCCTGGTGATGTAGCTACGCTGGATCCATGCTGCTTGGGAATCCCCTTACCACAGCTACCTTAGGGACTTCATTAAAGGTTGGGGGTTCCCCACTTTACAAGAAAGGTGACGTAGGCTGTATTGTCTTTTTTGTGGGACTTCCACAGGAGTGGTTGGGGACAGAGTACAAGAGGCTTCACGGGGTTCAGGGATAGAGTTGTAGAGACAGCTGACTCTTTCCTTCCTCACAGGAGGGTTGAGATTCAGGCATGGAGGGTGCCATCTGCAAATGTGAAGTCAAGAAAGCACACTGTATTGGGCCCAGAAATGACCAGACTGGCCCTGCAATAACCGCCTTAAAGGCTGTCTACTTGTGGCCAGTTTGGATTAAAAAAATAAATAAAAGGGGACAGTAGGCTCTTGCAAGTTGTTTCATGTTCTGAGTGACAGAAATTCTGAATGTGTGGCTTGAGGAAACTACGTATGGTTAGGCTCTAAAGTCTAAGGGCAACTGGGAAGGTGGCTGTTCTTGTTAGGAAATAATTGTTAATGGGGTCCAAGTGTACCTGATTAGTCTCTGAAGCAACAAGCAAAAAGAGTTTTCTAGTTATAAGAACTTCCCGCCCCCTCTTTACTGTATTGTGTATCCCTGACTTACTGGGGGGCTAATATGAATGCCTCCACGAATCAAGGGATAGTGCTGTTTATACATGGCTGGAGTTCTAGACATGTTATGTATGCACTGGGCAACATCAGTGGTTGTGGGCACTTTCCTTTGTGAGGAGACTGAACCAGTTAACATCCTTGTTTTGTTTACTCTTTATCCCATGTGACATTAATTTGATTGGGGAAATGGGAACCAACTAAGCTGCATTTGGCTGTCTTCATTAATGTTCTGGTATATAGTTTTAATATACATGCTTTAAAGCCTTTATATAAAAATCTGCTGTTCCACTATGACTCCATGGACTTCAGCAGAGATATTCTTGATTTACCCTGATGTAACTGAGAATAAATTTGACCCAGTGAAGTCATACATTGCCCATCTTTCCAGAACACTTGGATATAATCCTCAATAGCTTAAATTGTTGTTAAATAGCTTTTTATGAAAATACAATTTTAAACACCCTGATTTGAGACCTCTCATGAAATATTCATTGTATAAAATGTATGCCTCCATTCCTCAAATATTATTTACCGTATCTTGGAATGATTTAACAGAGAGGATTAGAAATAGGATTTAAAAAGTAGCTAAAGGAAATATATATATATATATATATATATATATATATATATAAAAATAAAAATAAAAATAAAATAAAGCTCTTGTAGATTCAAAGCCAGGGGAATGAAAGGTGAATGAGAATGGGTAGCAGCGTGGTTAGAAGTCAAGAGTAAATGACATCAGGTTTTGTCAGTTTTATCCTGGGCAATTTCCCCATTTTCAATCTTGCAGTCCTCATCCTATTGTTCTCCTCTTCCATCTGTCATGAGGAGGCTTCAGCATGTAAACCTAGCAACAGAATTAGACTTTCAACCAAAGAGCAGATTTAAGAGGATTTCTCATGTAAATTCCTAAGAAATCTCTTGATACATATCAATAAAAGTTCTGTATTTGAGAACAGAATTTAACTCCTAGACAGACTTTTTTAATAATGCTATGTTTAAAGTTATAACTTTTTTTCCTGGAAATGTTGATTTACCCATTTTTAGAAGTGAACATTTGGATACACTGCAGTTTTTTAATTAAAATATTAATTTCTTTCTTCTTAGATCTTTACACTTTTCATTGCTCTGTATTACTTTATAAAGGGGAAAACATATAAGGTATTCAAATAAACAAGATAAATAAAAATTCTCCATGGATCTGTTTTTTGTGAAACAGGACCAGACATCTTTGAGAGCTTTGGGTAATGCTTTCATCTATGTCAGGAGTGGCCAAACTTACTGACCCTCCGAGCTGCATACAACAATCTTCAGAAATTTGATAGCTGGGGTGCACCAGTCCGGGTTTGGGGCTTCTGCCCCATGAGAGGCACCTGTCAGGGCTTGGGGCTTCAGCCCTGTTCCTGCTGAAGCCCCAAGCCCCAGCAGGCATGCCCCATGGGGCTGAAGGCCCAAGACTCCCCCTGCCCCCCCTGCCCTTTTCTCCCCCCCCCCGCACCTCGCTGGGCAGAAGCCCCTACTCCTCCACCCTGCTGCAAGGCGGAAGTCTCAAGCTCCCCACCACCAAGTCTGGTAGGGTGAAGAAGAATGGGGCGGGAGGGTTGGGGGAGGGGCTCTGTGAGCCACACTTTAATTGTAAAAGAGCCTTATGTGGCTCGTGAGCCACAGTTTGGCCACCCCTGACCTATGTCATCTTTGTTACAAAAGGGAAATCGACTAAGCGGCAGTTCTGCAGGAAAGGACCTGGGGATTACAGTGGACGAGAAACTGGATATGGGTCAACAGTGTACCCTTGTTGCCAAGAAGGCTAACGACATATTGGGCTGCATTAGTAGGAGCATTGCAGCAGATTGAGGGAAGTGATTATTCCCCTCTATTTGGCACTGGTGAGACCACATCTGGAGTATTGCGTCCAGTTTTGGGCCCGCCACTACAGAAAGGATGTGGACAAATTGGAGAGAGTCCAGCAGAGGGCAACGAAAATTATTAGGAGGCTGGGGCACATGACTTATGAGGCAAGACTGAGGGAACTGGGGTTATTTAGTCTGCAGAAGAGAAGAGTGAGGGGGGATTTGATAGCAGCCTTCAACTACCTGAAGGGGGGTTCCAAAGAGGATGGAGCTAGGCCAGTGGTGGGCAACCTGCATGTGGCCTGTCAGGGTAATCCGCTGGCGGGCCGCGAGACAGTTTGTTTACATTGACTGTCCGCAGGCATGGCCGCCCGCAGCTCCTAGTGGCCGCGTTCACCGTTCCCAGCCAGTGGGAGCTGCGGGAAGCAGTGGCCAGCGCGTGCCACTTCCTGGAGCTCCCATTGTCCGGGAATGGTGAACCGCGACCACTGGGAGCTGCAGACGGGCAATGTAAACAAACTGTCTCGTGGCCTGCCAGCGGATTATCCTGACAGGCTGCATACAGCCCAGGGGCCGCAGGTTGCCCACCACTGAGCTAAGCTGTTCTCAGTGGTGGCAGATGACAGAACAACGAGCAATGGTCTCAAGTTGCAGTGAGGGAGGTCTAGGTTGGATATTAGGAAAAACTATTTCACTAGGAGAGTGGTGAAGCACTGGAATGGGTTATCTAGGGAGGTGGTGGCATCTCCATCCGTAGAGGTTTTTAAGGCCCGGCTTGACAAAGCCCTGGCTGGGATGATTTAGTTGGGGTTGGTCCTGCTTTGAGCAGGGGGTTGGACTAGATGACCTTCTGAGGTCTCTTCCAACCCTGATCTTCTATGTTTCTATGATCATGTATGTCACAGTGCACTGTACAAATAATGATAAATGTGGAAAATAAAAGTGTATTTCTTTCTCTAGGGGCTGATCTTCAAGTTTGTACATCTAAAAATCTAACGTGTTGTACCAAAAAGATGGAGGAGAGATACCAGATTGTAGTAAAGCAGGATATACAACAAGTGCTTCAAACATCAAGCTCTACTTTAAAGTTTTTAATATCTCATAATGCAGCTGCTTTTCAAGGTAAATCTTTGTGCTGTACATGTCAAAATTTGTTCAAAAAGCATTTTCTTAACTTTATCATATGCTTAAACTGATCTGTGATAAGTTATCTATTTTAGTTCCTCTTAATGCTTATTGTACTTTATCAAAGAGCGTATTAATTGTGGAGGACTGGCAACTTGACTGTGTGGCTGGTAACTAGTGGTCTTTGAGAAAAATAAAGAAGTGGGTTTAATTAGGCACTTTGTTTAGGACTTTACACCTTTGAGTATCTAAAAAGTGTCATGATAAATTTCACCTTGATATGCATGCACACTGCAAAGCCCTCCCTCGGATCAATTAGTCCTTGGCAGGGTTGGTGGTGTAGTAGCCGTTCAGCGGGTTCTCTCAACTGCAACCCCTCCACACTGGTGAGGGGTCCTCTGCATAGGCTGAGGTGGAGGGCAGTTGGGGGCATGGAAGATGGGAGGAACATGGGCTAGTGAGTATATGTAATAAACTAATGGAAAGAGAGAGCGCTTAGGGCAAAGCCCTGGTCTTGCTGAAGACAACTGGAGTCTTGCCATTTGTCTTTCAAGGTACTTGTGTGGCCCTGATCATCAAAGTGCCTTGCAAGGATTCATAAATTTATCCTTACAACACCCCAGTGAGGTAGGGAAATATTGTTATGATATGTGAGTGTTAGCTCCCTATAGCCCTGGAAAGCTGCCCCTACTGTTGGCTGTATCATAATTTTTCAGCAAATGAAGTGAACTGATAACCCATTAACATTGACACTACATCATCATCCTGTTCAAATGTAACTCTACATAGGCTGAGACTTCAGATGTTAACTCACATGTAACTTGATTACAAGAATATGCCCATCTGCCCACATTGTATTCACTCTCCAGAACTATAAACCCTAACACCAAATTCCCACTGTAACGGTTACGGGACTAACTTCACTTCTGTCCTTTTTGTGGTCTCTGAGTACATACCTCAGGTGTTAGGCCTCTTGTTCTCATCTGTTTTTGGGTGGTAATTGCTAAGCCTTTGTTCGTCCGATGACTATGCTGTCTAAAGAGACAGGCAGCCATTTTGTGCTCTTTTCAGTGATGACTGTCACCAGAGGGGATAAATGCAGTGGGTGCTTTCTGATAGGACCTTTACTTTGGTCTCCTTTATTTTTCTTTTAATCAGAAATAAGTTATTCAAATTAAGTGTCTGTTTTTTCTTCGTGTATAGGGAAAAATACCTCTTAAAATTGAATTAGCTAACTTGTAAGGAGCTTTTAATATTGAGGCTTTAAAATGAACGATCAGTTGTATATTGAATTTCCTTTTTATAGAAGGAAGAATAGATTCATAGATTCCAAGATCAGAAGGGACCATTGTGATCATCTAATCTGACCTCCTGTATAACACAGGCCATAAAACTTCCCTAAAATAGTTCCTAGAATAAATCATTTAGAAAAAAAAATCCATTCTTGATTTAAAATTGTCAGTGACTGAGAATCCACCATGACTTTTGGTAAATTGTTCCATTGGTTAATTACTCTCATGTTAAAAAATTATGCCTTATTGCCAGTCTGAGATTTTCTAGCTTCAACTTCCAGCCATTGAATTATTTTATACCTTTCTCTGCTAGACTGAAGAGACCATTATTAAATATTTGTTCCCCATGTAGATACCTATAGACTGTAATCAAGTCACACCTTACCCTTCTTTTTGTTAAGCTAAATGGATTGAGCTCCTTGAGTCTAAAGGGTTAGAAAACATGCATTATAGCGATAATCATTCTCATGGCTCTTCTCTGCACTGTCTCCAGTTTTATAAACATCTTTCTTGAATTGTGGGCACCAGAACTGGATGTTCCAGCAATAGTCGCACCAGTGCCAAATATAGAGGTAAAATAACCTCCCTACTCCTGCTCGAGATCCCCCTGTTTATGCATCCCATGATCACATTAGCTTTTTTGGCCACAGCGTCACACTGGCAGCTCATTTTCACCTGATTATCCACCACAACCCCCAAGTCTTTTTTCAGAGTCACTGCTTCCCAGGATATAGTCCCCATCCTGTATGTATGACCTACATTCTTTGTTCCTAGATTTGTAAATTTATGGTTAGCCATATTAAAACGCATATTGTTTGCTTGCGTCCAGTTTACCAAGCAATTGAGATTGCTTTGAATCAGTGACCTCTCTGCTTCATTATTTACCATTATGCTAATTATTGTGTCATCCGCCAACTTTACCAATGATCATTATATGTAATTTTCCACCAAGTCATTGATAAAAATGTTAAATAGCATAGGGCTAAGATCTGATCTTTGAGGGACCCCACTAGAAACACACCCACTCGACTACTAAGTTTAGTAGCTTCTATTTAATATCCTCCAGATATACTAGTGGAATAGAAAGAGTGTGACCATATTATGAGACTATGTTATCTGTTATTTTTACCAAAGTACAAAACAGAAATATTTATTGATCACTTCTGCCTTTTCTGCATTATTATTGAGTATTCTACCATTGCCATTTAGTAGTGGACCAAAATCACGGTCAGGATTCTTTTGGTTTCTAATATATTTAAAAAACTCCTTAACTTTGCTGGCCAAAGAGTGCCTCCTTGTAGCCTTTTGCTTCCCTTATCAATTTTCTACAATTCCTACCTTCTGATTAACATTCTTTACTATCAACTTGCCCTTTCTTTCATTTGTATTTTTTTTTTTAATTTTTATAGCTTCACTTCCCCTCAAACCCAGGTGAGAAGGAAATACTGTAGCATGTGTAAGCTCTCAGCCATCTCTAGGTTTAAAACTTTATTTGACCTTAAAGAGATGACTTGTAGAAATTTGGGTGTTGAATGTACAATTGAGTTCAAAAGGAAAATCACCACCAGTGTTGCCCAAAATTTGAGGTGGTTGCTAAATTCAAGTATGGCCATTGCAGCCAGATATCCCGAAATAAACTTGCATGGATTCCAGATGTCCTAAAATGCTGTTCTTGATGTATGTTTGGGTCTTTCAAGTCACAGAACACATAAGTGAATGCTGAAATATTCTCAAGGTCATTCTCATTGGCCTGGGAGCCGCGATCGGCCGAACCTGCGGACACGGCAAGTAAACAAACCGGCCCGGGCCACCAGGGTGCTTACCCTGGCGGGCTGTGTGCCAAACGTTGCCAATCCCTGTTGTATAGTATTATTTTAGAAATGTATATCGTCACTTAATAAAATACTAGTATAATGCATATGCACAAGAGGGAAGAGTTAATATTGCAGACTTCATTCTGGTATTTCCTGACATATGTGCTCTTAACTAAGAAAACCTTAATGATCTTGTGATGCAATTTTTAAAAAAATATATTACACAGTATCATGATATTATGTTGCAAAATTATGACTACAAAATAGTTCCAATGCCTACTTTAATCTAAGCAAGGAGGATTAAGTGGACTCACAGACGTGTGCAATATTTGTTTGAGATTATAGTGCCAGGGCCGCCCAGAGGATTCAGGGGGCCTGGGGCAAGGCAATTTCGGGGGCCCCTTCCATAAAAAAAGTTGCAATACTATAGAATACTATATTCTCGTGGGGGCCACTGTGGGGCCCGGAGCCTGGGGCAAATTGCCCCACTTGCCCCCCCCCCCCCGGGCAGCCCTGTATAGTGCTATTAAATGTGATGAAGTTGCAACCAATTAAGTTAAATGAATTATGTGGACAAGAAAATATGTTGCAAACTTCTAAACCACTTTCTTTGGTAGCTACTTGGCCATCAGGTACAATGAACATTTGTTCATCCCTGTAAAAAAAACAATCTGTGGTGGCAGTGATTCAAATGTTTTCAGTTTCAAAGGTTTCTTAGAGAATGACTTGAAGACCAGAAAACTCTTTTCAGCAGGAGCTGCCATTTCCTACTTCTGGTTTCAAGTGATACATTGCTTCGTAGATAATTTGTAATATAGGGAGTCGCTTCAAAGCAAAGGTTTAACTTTTTCCTTCTCTTTCTAGTCTGTAGTTCTTTAGAGTGAAAACACAATGAAATATATACATAAATTAAATCCAAGCACTTGATGATTTCACATTTCCTTGACTACATGGATAAAATTATTCTGGTTCAGATTATAACAGCACAAAAACGAATGGGCTGTTTCCAGAGAATCATAGAAGGGACTGCAAGGGTCATCTAGTCTAATCACCTGCCAAGATGTGGGGTTTGTTGTGTCTAACCCATCCAAGACAGATGGCTATCCAGCCTCCTTTTTAAAACATCCAGTGAAAGAGTTTCCACAACCTCCTGAGGCAGTTCCATTGTCCTACTGTTCTTTCTGTTTTTCCTGAGATTTAATCTAAATCTGCTATGATGTAGTTTGAACCCATTGCCTCTTGTCCTTCCCTCTGTGGCAAAAGAGAACAACTTTTCTCCATCTTTTTTATGGCAACCTTTCAAGAATCTGACGACTGCTATCATTTCCCCACCTTAATCTCTTTTCCCAACTAAACATACCCAGTTCCTTCAGCCTTTGCTTATATGTCTTACATTCCATCCCTCTGATCATCTTTGTTGCTCACCTCTGGATCCTTTCCAATTTCTCTACATCCTTTTCTATACATTGGTAACCAAAACTGGATACAGTACTCTAGGTGAGGCCTAACCAGTGCTGAGCAGAGCGATACTTTCACCTCCCATGACTTGAATGCTATACCTCTGTTAATGCACTCTAAAATTGCATTTGCTTTTTTTTGCAACAGCATCACATTTCTGACTCATATTGAGGTTGTGATTCACCACAGCTCCCTGATCCTTTTTAGCAGTGCTGCTGCCAAGTCAGTTTTCCCCCACTCTGTATTTGTGCATTTGGTTTTTCTTCCGAAGTGTAGCACCTTACATTTTTCTTTGTTGAATTTCATTTTGTTGTCCATAGCCCAATTCTCCAATGTATCTAGACCTCTCTGAATTTTAGCTCTATCTTCCAAAGTATTGGCAACCCCTCCCAGCTTTGTATCATCTACAAACTTGATCATTATGTTCTCTATA